AAGGCAGGAACAGTGCTGTCAATCAAGCTGACTTATTTAACATTTACGGAACATGCTACACAACGGCAGCAGAACACACTAGTACACATGGAACATTCATGAAAACCACAAAACAAATGTCGAGTGTAAAAGGTTTGAAATAACAGTATGTTCTCTGACCATGTGGATTTAAAATAGACACTAATAACCAAAAAATTTCTGGAAAATCCCTGAATAACTAGAAGTTCGAAAGTACAGTACTAAAAAACCAATAGGTCAAAAGTCACAAGGGAAATAAATACTTCGAACTAAATGAAAATAAAAACACAACATATGAAAATCTGTGGAATTCACTTAAACTTACAGAAAATTAATAGTTCTAAATGTTCATATAAAGAAAAAAAAGGGTCTTAAAAATCAATATTCTAAACTTCCAGCTTAAGAAACTAAAAAAAAGAACTGAGCCAAAATAAGCAAAGGAAGAAAAAAAAAGGATAAAAGCAAAAAAATCAATGAAATAGAAAACAAATATTAATGAAATAAAAAACTGGCTCTGTGAGAAGACCATTAAAATGGATACACTTGCAGCTGAACAGATCCTAAAGACATTAAAAGGATAATAAAGGAATATGATAAATAGCTTAATGTCAGTAAATTAAGAAACTAAAGCTGTAGTTAAAATTTTTCTGACAAAGAAAACTCCCTGCTCAGATGGCTTCACTGGTGAACTATACCAAATCTTTAAGGGAGAAATAATACCAATTTTACATAAATTCTTCAAAGAGTTGCAGAAAAGAAGACACTTCCAAACTTCTTTTATGAGGCCCTGACACCAAAAGTAGACATTATAGAAAACTACAGATCAACATCCATCATGAACATGGAGGCAAAAATCTTTAGCAAAATTTTAGTAAATCAAATCTAATAACGTATTAAAAATGCATAGTAACCAAGTGAAATTTATCCTAGGTTTAATTTTTTAGTACAAATTGTTGTAATTCACTATTTCTAAGACCAAAAAAGAAAAAGCATAAGGACAGTTCAAAAGATGTAAAAAAAAAAATCCTGACAGAATTCAACACAATCCTCGATAAAAAATCTCACTGATTTAGGGACAGAGAGGAACATTCTCCATCTGACAGCGGGTACCTATAAAAATCCTAGAGCCCAGCCATCCTACTTAATGATAAAGGGCCGACGGCTCCCGTCCCCTCCCAGGCCGGGAGTAAGGCAAGGGTGTCTTCTTCCATCACTTCTCAGCAAAGTTCTGGGGGTCCCAGCTAACGTAATACGGCACGTAAAAAAAAAAACAAAAAAAACACAAGGCAGATAGATTGCGAAGGAAGAAGAAAAACTTTGGTGTTTCTCAACCACTTTCCGATCCCAGCACACTTGAGGAACACAGACTGCTCCCACGGTGGCCGCAGCTCACTACGGTGGTGACTTTAACGGGGGCCACGTGTTCCTTGGTGTATGTGTATCCCGGGGGGAGAGGCCACAGGCAAGCAGGCATCTGAAAAAGCCTCAGCTTTGAAAAACCCCTGCTGTGGACGCGGCCTGAAGCCACATGTGAAGTAGGCCATCCGCCCAGCAGGAAGGACCGAAGCAGGAGAGGTCTCCCTAGGAATTGTGTGTACATGGAAAGGGAGGGTCAAGGGAGGAGGAACCAGGAGACAGAAGGAAAGTGCCCCTGGAGGTAAGAGGGGGAGTATGGGGAGTAGCTGCAGGGAAGGCAGGAAATCGGGAGCCTCAAGTGCTTCCTTCCCCGGCATCTCCCTTGCTCACCTTCTTGCCTGGCCCCTGCCAGCACCAGAGTTTGCAAGTGTTAGAGGGCAGGAAAGCAGCACCTGAGTCTTAACAGATGAATGGGAACTTAACTAAGGGTTTAAAACAGAAGAAGCCCCCACCACAGGGGGAACAGCATGTGCCTAGCGCACAGGTGTGCAAAGGGTGTTGGTGTTACCTGTTGTGTGTGCGCGCGCGTGTGTGGCGGGGAGAGAAGTGAGCAAGAACAGCATGGAAGAAGCAGATGACACAAGGCTGGGTCCAGACTGTGAGGTCTCCCCTGCCATGGTACTGAGCGAGGGAGTCAGACTCGTTTTTCAAGCAGCTCAGACAACAGCAGGGAGAACTGGCTGTTAGTGGGAGAGTAGGCCACACGACAGTCCAGGCATGGCAGGAGGGGGCCTTCGAGCTGCAGGGTGGGAGGAGGGGCCAGTGACTGGGCAGAGCAGATGTGAACAGGGCTGGGGGAGTGGAATGGGAGGGGAGAGAGGGCTGCGAAGACAAAGCGCATCGGATCACAGAACTACTGCCAACCACCAACTCTCACCGCACACCTCCTGCGCATACCCCGGGTCACCGAATTCTCCCAACAACCCCAGGAGGCGGGCGTGATTACAACTTCCCCACCTCCAACAGAGAGGCTCAGTCAATTGCCCAGAAGTTCTCCCAGCTGGCACATGGGCCTGGCTCTGATTTAAGTCCAGCCAGGATGGTTCGACAGGGCCCACGCTCTGCCCCTCATATGACACATTTGGCCTATTAGGGAGGGCTGTGAATATGGAAGGAGTGAGGGATGTAGGACCGGAGGATGGATACGGTCCAAATCATGGGTTGGAAATGTGGGCCTGGTCCTAGGACGGCCAGGTGGAGCTGAGCTGTGGGAGGGGGCGAGAGGGCTAATGGGAAACGCGTGGGGCAGGACGCAGCTTGGGGAAGACCAACGTGTACGAAATAAGTGGGAGAAGGGGAGGCAGATCGGGGAGGGAGCATGGTCACCGACACAAGACAGCTGGGGAGGACAGGAGTTCATTCGAAGATGTCCTGCGGATAAGTGAGGTGGGCGCCTCCCCTCATCTCCTGGCCTCTGATACCTCACCAGCCTCCTAGCCACCCTCCAACACGCCTGGCCCCGATGCTACTCTCCACCCTCAATACCGCCAACTAGTTAACTTCCGCTTCTCAGAAACGTATTTCCTCAAACGTCTTACTGAAGTATCACCTACTCGTCTTTCAACATTTAAATGTCAGGGCTTCCCAGATTGCTACCTTCCTCGTTCCCCCTCAGGGACCAGTCATTCCCTCGGGCCCAGGTTAGGCCCTTACATGCTCTCACGCACCCCACATTTCTCCTCGGCAGCACAGATCATGGTCGAATAAATAACTTCCTGTACACTAGTAACAGAATACGTCTCTTCTCCTTGAAGGTCAGGTCCATGAAGGTGGAAACCGAGTTTACCTAAACCAGGAGTTGACAAACATTTTCTGAAAAAGGCCAAATAGTAACTATTTTCAGCTTTGTGGGCCACAGAGTCGTAGTCATGACTATTCAACTCTGCCATTATAGCCCAAAAGCTGTGGAGACAATATGTAAACGAATGAGTGTGACTGTTTCGATAAAGTTTTATTTATAAAAATAGGAGGTGGGCCAAAGGGCCATAGTTTGTTGACCCCTGGCTTAAATCACCAGGACCCAGTCTAGCTTCTGGCATATAGCAGGCACTGGATAAAGAAAAGCAGCCACTGTTTTGACAGTTACACGGAAACTGGTTGCCAGGGAAGGGGGTGTTTGTGGGCGGTGGGGGTGGGATCGCGACAACAGTGGTTTGAGGTGTGAGTAACAGCTGAGGAGATAGTTGCTTCTTTTTCAAGAGCTCCACAGTCGGGGCGACGGGCTCAGGGAAAGGGAGTGTCTTCATGGAGAGGGCAGATGAGAAGTATGTTTGCAGGCCATGCCAAATAGGCAGGGCTGGGGAGGAAAGGGAGAACTGACGAAGAGGGGGGCTCCAGAACTCAGGTGAGGGGAGCGCTGGTCATGAAGGAGGAAGACACCTGCTGAGGCTGAGGAAAAGAAACACAGAAAGGTGGAAGGAAACAAGGGGACAGCCCCGTACTTTCCTGTGCACCATAAGCCAAGACCACCGGATGCAGAGTGGGCGGGAGGAGGTTCAGGACCCCAGCACCTGTCAGTCTGTGGGAGAGGGGACGTCCAGGGCAGGACCTCAGGCCTCACGGCAAGGCTGGAGCTATACCTCTCATTTGAGAGAGCACTTGGGTACTTCTGAGCTGTGTTCTCAGCTCTGACTTGGTGTGAAGTGTCACTCACTGAGTCATCAGCACTACTTGCTATTACTTCCTGTCACTTCACTTTCCCAAGCAGGTAGCAACAGGCAGGCCCTGAGGAAGATGAGGTCATGCTTTAAGCACATGGACATACCCAGTTCTTTCTGGAAGGATACTGAAAGGCATTTTAATTTCGGAAAGTTAGAGGTGGTTTCATTTTCATGTCTTCAAATGTGTATGTGTGTGGATGCTGTAAGATATTTCTCCATTAGGCAAAGGAAGCTTTCTCTTTAAATGGAAGAAACCATTTGATTGGGGGTTTGCAATAAAAATAGCATAACAGCTATTTAGTTTTACAAGCCTAACATGGTATTAAAACCTATAAAACACAACTCACAGAGAAACTATTAATATTACGATATTTAAACACTCTGAAAACTTTTCTCAGTCGAAAACCTAGTCAATGTCACTTATCCAAAGAAAAAATCTTGTATTTCGACATCGATTTATTACTTCGTTATCACTATTACTGCATGAATATGGGAGAAAGGTTCAGACCCGTCCTTCTACTTTTCAGGAAAAACTAAAATCATCTAAATACCTTTTGGTTGACATCCCTGAAAAAACAGTATCCAGACCTGTTTTCATCTGCCTTACTTTAAGGTGTAATTGCTGTTGATAGTTATAGATTGAAGGTTCTATGTATATTCTCATAAGTAACACTTTAATTCGCATTTTCATTTTGAAGTTTTCACTCCTCACAGATCAAAAGATAATTTTCTTACGACAGAGCAATCTTCACTGTAGTCTTTCAAGTCCTTCCAGAGATGATGGGAACCAATGTCTCCGAATTCACTAGCGTGTACGAGGGCGATGCCCACCCCCGTAGCACATTTTTTATTCAAAGGACTTTCAATACTTCTTTAGACGCACAGTCGATAAACTTAATCTCTTACCCTATAGTTGGGTTGATGTTCGGATCAAAACTGTCTTCCACGAACCGCCAGACGATACTTGATTTACCTACACCTGTATCCTGAAAGAGAATGAAATGAGTGAATAAGAAAAAGTTTACCTGCTCGCAGACCCCGAAAACTACCTTGTGCTGTAAGTTCGGGATTTTAGAAAACTCATTCTAGATAGGTAAATTTTAGAAGTTTAGGGACACATAGGAGGTTTTCAAAAAAATTCAGTGGGCGTAATTAGATTTCAAGATGTGCTATCAGTGAGGGGTTTTGCAGTTTTTATTTTAGGACCTTCTGAAAGACCCCACATTTCTGCTTAATGTGAAAAGTGACAAATTCACTTTTAACATGTATATGTGAACTATGAACTCTTGAATCACTTTGAGCAATCCCTGATAAATCCCAGCCCCACCCTATTTGGGAAGGGGGAAGACTATTCAGTCTTTAAAGCAGCAGCTCAGGCAAGAGAGCAAATTCAGAAAGCATGCTTTGAAATGGCAAAGGTGCCCTGACAAGACTGACGCTTCAGTCTTTGGGGTTTCCTGATTTGAACGTCCCCCCAAGAAAGTTAACTCGGCCGAAGTGTCAAGAATGGTCCACAAGCTCAAAAATCCCAAACAGACGAGACCCAAAGACCTGTTACTGGTTTTAACTATGGAAGACTTGACGACTCCTAACTAGTACCTTGATAAGGAACTGTTTAAGAGCTGCTCTTAACCTAGGTGCAATGGAGAGGTAGGGAGGGCTCTGGGCCCTTTGCGGGGCGGGAAAAGACCTTGGGCCCCGGAGGGACAAGGGGAAGGGTGCCTCCTGCCAGTAGGACCTTCAGGAGGGTGCAGTTAGGTGGGCAGGATGGCACCGGGCTTTAGGAAGGGTCCCGGGGCAGGCAGGCGGCGTCCCGCACTGGGACTGGGGAAGGCAGCGGACGGGACGTGGGCACGCCTGGGCCCTGGCCGCCCGGCCTCCCGCGCCCTCCCGGCCTCCCGGCCTCCCGGCCACCACTCACCCCCAGCAGACACACTTTGAGCTCCCTCAGCGCCATGGCCCGGGAGCCTGGGCGCGGGCCCGCCGCCGCCCTAAGTTGAGGAGGGAGAGGCCAGGCCCAGCACAAGCATT